CCAAGTCTCCGCTGCATACATGACATTTGTTTTGAAATTCCTGATTTTGGTGTTGATTGATATTTGTTTGCAGTTCCACATATTTTTCAATGGTAGAAATGCATCTCTTGCTTTTCCGATCAGCGCCTTCACACTGGCATCAGAGCCACGTTGTTCGTTAATGATGCTGCCGAGATATGCTAAGGTTTCGTTACATCCACTAAGACATTTTCATCATGTGTGATTTGCTTGGTTCAAAGTGTCTACAAAGTTCTCACTTGTTATTCTCTAACTTTTAAAATTCGGTATCTGAATGTTATTTCATACAAACTTGTTTCATATCATTCTCAGTGATTTCTATCTTATATATAGATCTGTTTTTATTTTAATTGTAAGAAATACCAGTCACAAATCGCTAGTTTTATTGATTATTAGTTTGGTGTACCTGTAACTTAACTGGAACAGACGAAGCTTTAAATTACCGATTAGGCAAGAGTTAATTTGACATGATGAACCAAAAAGATAATTTTGTCAGGATATTTATCAAATATCATAAAAGAATTCTGTTTATCGATTCCTACTAGTCAATATTATGGTCGTTCTAACTATCAATGTCAGAGACTTTAAATGTTGTTTCCTATTCGACCTAAATGTGTAAATAGCATTATCCGTAACGTTTTATGACCCGGACGTGGATCCTTAGTCCGGGATCCTGATTCCCTTCTGGACTCGGACCTCGTACTTTCTGGATGCTTGTAGAATACATGTTCTACTTCATATCAAGTCTTCTTCTTTCACTCAATGAGGGTTCGGGACACTCGGATTAGTGTAGCTTATCGTGTCACCGGATCCTCGATCCTCACTCTCGTTTACTGACTAAGGTAGTAAACTCGTAATAGTTCAAGCATATCAAATGACAGGTTTACGTGCCTGCATAAAAAATCTCTATGCATGAGCTTTCAAAATAACACATTATCGAACATTGTAGATGAGTAATTTCCATCAGCTCTTCAATATGACAAAGCAGAACTGGCTTTATGTACTTAATTTCAAGCTTAGTTAAGATATCTCCTCTCTTATTTATTCATTAGAAAGCTTACTTAAACAAACGTTCAATGTTGAAAGTAGTATGGTGATGAGACAGACTAAACTGTTTCGTCTAACTTCCGGTGTGTGTGTGTGTAACCGTTCTTTTGTACAAATTTATATCGATTTATAGAAATTTTTATAAGTGCTTATTAAATTCATTATAAAAATTTCTGTTAGATAAATAGTTTTTAAAAATTAATATTCTTACGAATGTGGTGCGCGCTACTTATAAGTAGTAAGTATATGACGCGAGTGTAAACGTAATGTCTGGCAGCAGAAGATGGGGGAAGATCAAGAAAGCAAGAAGAGTGGGAACACAATGGAATTTGTGTATGAAACACATGAATAGTGAAATGTCAGACAATCGACTGATGATGGATTGAAGATTTGCAAATTAACGATTTACGATATGGTTTTCCTATTTTACTGAGTAACTCTTTAATTTTCGTTAAATACAATTCGATTGCCCTCACCTGTGTTCTCCTTCACTACTCGAGCACTTAGTTTCTTCTCGTAAACAGTCAATTTAATTGTACAAACTAAGTTGATAGATTTGTTAAAAATTGATAATTGAGCTTATCAATTAGTTAATTGATTTAAAGCAAACTTATGATTTTCAGTAACATCAGTGATGATTGAAAATGAAAAGATCTTGTCTGTACAATCACCATGTCACATCCCATTTCATTGATGAGATTAAATGTTTGTGTGGACAGTTATACATATGTAAGGAGTAATTGGAGAATGTAATCAAGGGTTATGTAACATGTTCATTGATTGTAAAACACATAAGTGAATTGGGTTTATTGGATTGACATCAAGACAGCTTGTAAAATATGGTGTAGAAATGTTTAACGACAAGTGTTGAGGTTTATAGTGAAGCTTTGACCATACGTAAATTTAAATTCATACCCTTATCTGTACAGAAATAATTTGGAGTAACTTTGAATTTGCTCTTGTAATCTTTAAGCTATTTTTTTTAACGTAGGGCAATGTGACAATGTCCTCTTTTTTCCTTAGTTAAATAGGAATGGAGAGGGTGGACAACCCTGTAGGACACCATCTGAAGTAACTGATTCCAATGACAGTTTGCCATAAGCTCTCAGTCGATCAGTAGTGTCCAAGTAGAGAGCTTGTATAAGGTTACTGCACTTCTTTGGTATAACTCCGCCAGTAGAACCTTCGGGGCTACTGCCGGTCCCAAGCCCGGATAAAGGAGGGTTGGACAAGGGGTTGGCGACCCCATTCCGTCAAAAACAAACTTGCCAAAAAAACGCTAACCGGAAAAAAAATAATTCAACTTCTTTGGTATACCTTTTAACGACAGACACTGACGTAGAACCTCACAATCAGCAGAGTCAAATGCCGCCTTAAGGTCAAGAAATACTACTATTGTGGGGCGCCTGAACGTGTGTCTTTGTTCTAGGACCTGACTTAGTGTGAATATTTGATCGATACATTCACGTCCAGGTCGAAAACCAGACTGGTCTTCTCTGGTCTGCTCTTCACGAGCTTTCGTCAAGCGTCGGAGTATTATTGAGGTCAATATTTAAGAAGATATATTAGTTAGGCTGATTCCCCTGTGACTGTCACAAGAAGACTTTTGTCAGTTCTTATAGACTGGGACAGTCAGTGATTGAGATCAGTCGGATGGGATTTAATCCAGTTCCCAGATTCTACCTAAGATCTCGGTCAATCTAATTGTTAAAGCTGGGTCACCATCCTTAAAAATCTTAGGCGTAAATCCATCAGGCTCTAACTCGCTTCCGGTTCTCTATACCTTTTTTCTTTTCATAAAGACTCGGGGAATTTATCTGTTTACCATTCAGGATGACTGGGGATCGTGTGTGTGTCTGAAGGCCAATTGAACTGATCCCTGAAGTGTTCTTCCCATCGATCCAATCTCTTGGATTAAGAATGAATGATACATCCATTGTTTCTCTGAGATAGTTTCGCTAACAGATGGATTTATAATACCGGTTTCTTTGATAAGCCGGAAAAACTTTCTACTGTTGCTTATTGACGCTCTGTCTTACCATAGCATAATAATTTTCTATCGACTTTATTTACAGTTATCACCTTGTGTTTATTTGAACTTCTGTGTGTCACGTATATAAGAGTTTGATATTGTGGAGAAAATTTGTAGCTCAGATGAATGATTGTGATAGAGTTTCGTTTTCTGAACTGGATCGGAATCAAAGGAGTATCCAATCGAAATAAAGATATGTACAATGACAGGTTTAAGGTCTATAATAACCAATCAAGATCAAGGTCAACGTAGCAAGCTATGAATCATAATTGGAGTAATTTGAGTACTTCATTTTTGCCTAAAGTTTGTGTTGATGATGTTGTCTAGAAGAACAATGAAAGTTCCACAATCAAAGAATTCAGCTCAGAGACAACAAAACTCCTTAGTATCAAATACATCATAACATTTTTAAGATCAACTACATTTGTTTATTGTTTGATCAAAATTAAAAAAGAAAAAGTCTATTTTAATTTCAAAAAACCTTTCAAATACGTAACTAAGACAAAAGGAATCCGGTATTTAAACTGACTATGCCTTTTTCCTTTTTGTCATGTCATTTTTTATCCAATCAGAAAGCATCATTTGAGCTGTTTCCTGATTGGTTCATTTATTTGATCATTACAATATTGATTAGATTGGTCAATGTTTGTTTTTCTTCTCAGTATTCAATGATTTCACTGACGTATTTTTCGTGTTTTTATGAATGGTGACATCAGTTAACGGGTAATAATGAGACTTCTAGTTCCCGTATACAAAAGAAAATTTATTGCCTTATAGAAATTTTAGATAATACGTTAATTTGATCATTGTTAAACCACCATTAGAAATATGGAAGCATTGAACAACTGGTTTGTCCAAGTGTGGGACTCATCAGCAGTGAGCATCCACGACCACTGCACGCTTATGCATAACCTTTAGACCACTGAGACAGTACCCAACAGTGTTAATGTCTAACTTTAATCAATTTTACGATATTGTGTGACCGCATTCATTGTTTTCGGTGGGTAA